ATAGTCCTTGTTCCCTTTGTTCCCAAATGGGTGCCTCTATTGTATCCTGGAATAGACAGGTCCGACCGTATCATCCACGGGTCTGGACCATAACATGTGATGTGGACTATCACCTGATCTCTACGCGTCATGTCTATGGCTGAGTGGCGTGAGATATTGGTGAAGCACGTGATCTGTGGTGTGAGAAAAGTCACGTGCGGACTTTGTGGCGAAAATCTGTGACAGGCGTCCACGATGGGTCAGACATGGCGAGGATACTCTGCACCTTCGAAATTACATGACTTTATGCAATACAGAGAAAAGAATCTCCCCACAGACCATGTAGGACACAGGTATTCATCAATTATGGGCTTGATCCATCGAAAACAGTAGGCTGCGTACGACTAAAAGTTATTCAATCATTGGAATTGTCAACTTGTTTAGGACTTAATAGAATGATCATCGCTTGTGCTGCATGCATTCTGACAAGCCTACATTCCCGAGCGCACATGTTTCAATATATCGAAGCCATCCAATGGTCAAGCATATGGGTAATGATTGCAGATCAGGAAAGATGAACATATAGCCGAGGGAATCTCGTAAATGCAGCCGACCATCAAACACTGTATCATACGAGAACAACATCATTCGTGGACCGGTGTGCATACTAGGGAGTATATACTCACATAAGCAGCATTAGAATGGTTGATATGAAAGCCCACCTTTCTTACTGCACAACCCCCAGGCTAGAATTGAAATGCGAATGATACTCAGCATGATTTCTTTCTGCAGCCTCGTATAACTTGGTCCAATCGTGGCATACAGTATCATATCCTCAGATGGCAGTACCTTCCAAATTAGTTGCGGGCTCAATTCCAAGGTTCAGGCGGCACAGGATTGATTGCCGCAGGTAGTTCATACAGTGTTTCGTGAGTGACGACGGCCTTTGTAGTGAAGCTGCATACTGCTCTCAGATGACATCGAGGCATTTCAGCTGGTGGAACATAGTGACCATGTACGCCACTGGCTGCAAAGATGTTGCATCACCACCAACATGAACGAGGTGTCCGCCGAGAGGGGTGAGCTTGACAAACTCCTGCGCTCCCTCATCCAAATCGAACTGATAATGGAGCGAGTAGTCAATGCACATAGCAACTGGCTCTGACGTCGAGGGGGAGAATGAAAGACCGTCTGCTGCATATAGTTCGCAACTGATATAAATGCTGGCTGCAGGAAGTGGTGGATGACTTACCATTTGAGGCTTTAGCATGCACGTTGATAAGGAAGCGAATGCGCTGAACTGCTGCCCTGACTAGGAATGGCAGTATTGATAGAATAACAATGGTTGCTAATGCACTATAGGATAACTGTTGTATCCTCTTCGTATGTGACTTGAGCATAGCAGCGGCTGGAGATATGTGAGTAGGCAGACTGGCAGTGGACGTTGCTGAGGAGTTTGTCTCAGGTACTGTGGTGAGAGACTTCAAAATAAGATACTACATGCTGCCAGAGATTGCACCATGATCATGTGCGGCAGTGCACTGAATCACTCAGAAGGAAGATGGGATCAGTCACGGGCCCATCTATCATTCTCCGAATGATAAATAGAATACCAATACATTAGTCTCGTACCTAAACCTCTTCACTTGCACTGCATTACCTCTGCAGCGGTGGGGTGCAAACGAAAGGTCTGGGTATGGGACCACAACACCTCCATCAATCACATAATAGTGCCTGGAGAGATGGATGACAAGACAAAATGGTCATATCAGCTCATAGAAATGCCTATCTGCATCTAAATATTGCCTGAGCTGCCATCGTTAATAGGAGCGGTGCCGCAATTGCAATGCTAGACAAATCTGCCACCATGCCTCCAGGACACATGATAGCCAGGCTGCTTTACTATGTGCTTATCACCCTCAATGTCAGCGCAAGTCTGTGGTACTGCACCCGAGGCTCACTGCAGTGGGTACAAAGTGGAGGTTGGACAATGCGATAGCAATATTAGTCACGCATTACTCACGGATGTCGACAGGTGCACAGAGACAGCACACCTATATCGCTGAGGACTATCTGCTCGAATATCCCATAGATCACCTGGATCCCGTCACCATGACTCTTCACGAATCTGTCCACTTCTCCCTGAACCTTACAGACCCCATTGTAGACATGGAATGGGAGAGTCTCGCAGCACATCCTGGGGGCTTTGGTCGCACGCAACTGGGACCAGACCATTGCCTCTTTGTGCTCACCTTCTACCATCAGCTTCACTGCTTGTGGAAGTTTCAGTCCACCCTCATCAATCGGAATGATCCCGGAGCCTCACCCCACCATGTCCAGCATTGTCTCAACTACCTTCATCAGTTGTTCTTATGTGACGCTGCCACTACACTCGAACTAGGAGATTTCATGGTGCGGGACTTCGAGCAGAACAGAGTGGGGGATACTTTGGTCTGCAGAGACTGGGAGAAGGTCTATAACGTACTAGATAGCGCATTCGTGGAATGGTCCACATGGAGTGTGCAGTGGAATTGATGGTCTCAGCCTCGAGGACAATTTTGTGACATATGCAGCCTGCAGGCAGCCAATCTCACGTGTAGCCTTCATGAAACGAACACAGGGTTGTACAGAAAGAGTTGAGCCATGTAGCCGCAAGAAAATTGAGTAGTCTGAATGATCATGGTCCGACGTAGTGACGTGGCAGACATGGTGTATTTAGCGCCTAATAACTACATTTCTCGTGAATCGCTATTGAATAGTTCAGCCTACGATCTGTCGCTTTCATCCTCCAGGAGGGCTGTGCACCATTTTCACAGTTTGCACAGCATCGAGTGGCCTGTATCTAAATACATCGGCTATAACTTCAGTGACTCAAAATGGTGCGGGAACCTACCATGCAAGTCTTTCGTCAGATCACTTTCAAGAAAGTGTCCAAGATGTTAAAGTATCTATCGCTCTCCTCGTAAAATGGCACATGGGTGCTCTGTGAGAGGTGCATCCATTTCACGTGAGGAATCTCTTTGAAGAACGGCATCACTCCCAAGTCCTGTGCTAAATCGTTCTCTGCATTGACAAGCAATGTGGGACAGACGATGTTGTGCGCTTCACTCGCAATGGTCCAGTTTCGCAAGGTCCCCATCATGTCAGTATCAGATGCACTGATCCTGTGAGGGGAAAGCATCAGCTGTCAGTCCAATCTGCAGTTGGGTTCAAATACTGACATGGCCGTATATACAGTTGGATCATCATCCTTGGCCGAAAATGATTTGAGCAAGTCTTCAGGCCACGGATCAAGCATGCAGATGTGTCGTTTATTGTACACCTTCATCGCCTCCTTATACTCATCACTGTCTGTTGTACCATCTCTCTGATGCCTTCGGATCGCCTCCCTCACGTCCTCTGGTAAAGTGTCAATCAGCTTTTCTCCCGCCTTTCTCGACAACTCCATCGAGGCACTGCAGTTTGCTATCAACAGATGCTTCAGTCCCTTTGGTGCTCTCATTGCTGCAAACTGGCTTCCCAACATCCCGCCCCATGAATGACCAAGAAGGTCAAAATCATCTTCGATGCCCAGGTGAGCGAGTAGGTTCTCGAGCTCGTCCATAAAGAATTCCACTGTCCAAAAGTCGTTGGGTTTCTTTGGAAGGTGTTTTGACTGCCCAATGCCGATCTGATCATAGAACACAACAGATGCGTTGGTTCTCTCCATGAGCTCGACATGGGCGAGCATGTAGTGGTGGGAAATACCGGGCCCACTGTGTAAGGTCATCAGTGAGCGCACACCGCTCTTCAGGTCTCCTACGATCTTGTACCAGGTGTAGAAGACTTCATCTCCATAGGAGAAGGAAACAGTCCCAGTGTGTTCCACCATGTTGACAGCAGGGGAGCGAGTGGAGGTGGATTGTCCCATGCAGAGCTCAATGCAACAGATATCATTCCCCGAAAGAAGATAGAATGCCAAAATGAATACGGCGGTCAGTCCCGGAGATTGTCCGATGCTATTCCATCATTGGGAGAATTCACTCATTTTCACAGCAGTGCTCCATTTCTGAATATCATTGAGACTGTCTGAATAGTTTCTGATGAAGAGAATCTTATAAAAGAATGACAGGTACGTTTTCCACGGCTGTCTTTCTCCCACGATTGCTATGGTTCTAATTGGACGCACTCATTAATCACCTTCTGCTCAGATGCAGTGCATCAAAAAAGATTTAAGGAAGTTCTCATCGATGATTCTGTGCATCGTGCAGATATGAAACACAGCGCCCAAGAACTGTCACCTTCCACATGACCTCTGAGATTCAGTATTGTATTGTCGAATGCCAGCCGGCAGGAGCCATCATATACATCGACGTATCATCTGAAGGTGTAACTATATTCCACCGTATAATAAATCTAATAAAGAACAGTCAAAATGTGAAAGGTTTCCTGTAATGATACTCCGCTGCAGCGACCGGTAGAATACTGTTCCATTCCATCCATGGGTTCAGTCACCTGCCACGCCTGGTGAACCTATGGTGCAGTACATTGCAGGGTAGGTGGCAACAACGTCTCGTATGGTACGTTACTTACACACCCCGATACCCATAGCAGAAGGCTTCCTCAGAGCTAAGTTCAGAACATCAATGCCTCTTGCTGATGGCACTGGGAATCTCGGCATCTGATTAAAGAGATATGCTTTCCTTGTGTGCACGTACGATGACATGACTGCGTGAGAGTTCTGAGAAGCTATGAAGATGTTCAATAGCTCAGATGACATTCCTGTGTACAATATATCTATGAGGCTCGTGAATGTCGCTCAATGACATGTGAGAACTCAATGGACAGGGACCGGAGGGTATGATAAGCGATCGCGTGCTGTTCGCGCGATCCTGAACGTGGCGCTGAAAGTGGGAACTTCATTTGGTTGAATGCTGCGTAACAAATATGGCTACGTAAAACTCTCGTCAATTATGGGACGTCAGGTCACAACGTAAATGACACAACCCACCTGATGCGGGATGGCTCTTGTTCTGCCACCATTCGACCCTGCAGCTCTCCTTATCCACGGGTGGCTGGCAAGCTATCTCGAACGACAATACTTCGTCCATCTTGCACGCAAATGTTCTGTGCCAGCTACCACCGCTGGTACTATCAATTTGAACACTAGCGATCTTTGACACTCGGGGAGGTTTGTTCCTGTAGTTTAGTGATGTCGAATCCAAAGGGGTGCTTTGCCTGAGGCGATAGAGTTCCAGTGTGAATGGTAGCTCAGAGATCATGGTGACAGATGCTGGCGAAACGTTCAGCTTGAGTTCGCATAACTCCATGCCGTAGTCGATGGCTCTGAACTGCACAATTGTGGAAAACTGTAAGGTAGGGCGTGAGGAATGTCTGCACTCATTAGAGATAGTTCTCAAGACTGACCGACTCGGAAACATGTACGCGCCAATCGTCTGGCACAACGAATCCGCTATGCATCGTGTAACCTTTGGTAGACCAACGAACAACCCGCTGCTCATCAGCTGAATTCACCTGCGAGATCATAATAGGATAGTTGTCGAATTGTCTCGGTACAGCTGGGATAGGACGAGAAATCTCATCCAAGCGGATATACTGCGAAGGTCGGCGCAGGCTCCACAGCTCCTGTTTGGTGACTGGAAGATTGGGTGCAGGAATCTCAGGGACATGGAGGGTCAAAACAATGAGTGTTGCATTGGCAATTGTGCATAGAAGGCACACGAAGAGGGGCCATATGGGAAACAGTGTGTAGAGTGTATTCTCCTTCTTCTCAATGATTGTGTTGCCCGCATCATCCTCATACTGGTCAGTGAGGTGGGAGGAGTCTGCCGAGGAAAGAAGGCGATAATTTTCCTGAGAAGCAGGCATGACAGCGGAGGTTTCGTCAGGGTACATGTGTGGGCGTGCAACGAGATAAGAATGATGGATGTTAAATTCAAATGTACATGAAAACTCCCCAATTGCGAAAGTCTCCATTCATAGAAGCAATCAGCATCAGCGATGTCACCTCTGGCGCCAGCTGCGATCAAATCGCCGGCAGTTGGTTCAGAAATCTCGGTAATGATACATCTCTTGTTGTGATTCCTATATCAGGAGTGAGGAATTGGAATGATACATCAGAAACTGTCAGCTGGATACTCGGGAATGGGGTCGTTGTTCGTCAATTGGTCAGAGGTCTCCAATTCCTAAGCGCCAGAGCAGGAATATAAGGAGTGCAGCAGCGACCGTCCTTCAACCAAACCTTCCAAGATGTACATTCTCAAGACATTTGCCACTTACGCTCTCCTGGCGTTTGCTGCCATACTCATGCAGGGAGCTCCGAATCCCGGGTGTACTCAAGGGGGCGAAGACACAGATATAAGTATGTACTGAAACTCATATTCCTTAAAGCACGACAGGATCTGACTTGCCTTTGCAACAGACAGTCCCGATACAGTGAGCCACAAAACTGTTGCAATGTTTGCAACAGTTGCATTGTTTGGCTTATATCTCAGAGACCAAAATAGCTAAATATACATACATATATATCGTTAGAAAGCATATGATATGAGCTTTCAAATGGCACTCAGATGAAGTAAATCGGCCTTCTGGTTGGTGAGATACAAAATATTCTTTACAAAAGATGCATTGCAACAGTTTTGTGGCTGACAATTTTAGATATAAAAATCCCCAATTTCAGTACTTTGTGTACCCTCCCTTTGCCCTCAACACAGCTTTAACCCTGTCTGGCATACTGT